GTATTAAATAGTTTTTTAAAGGGAAAACTCCATTTCCATCCTAATTTTTTAAAGTAGACAATACCACTGAAGTTCATTTTCTAATATGAAATTCCAATACATATCAGCCCTACTAGATAATGACATTTATATCTTAGTACGATCCACTGCAATAAATGTTCAAAACATGCCCCAGTTCCTTTGTTGTTCCATATTTTTTTTGTAGTCAAATTGCTAGATTCAATTGGCTATAAGATAGAGCTTAGAAATCATGGTATACACCATGACATAATTCTCCACCCTTTATTTTCTTACTGACTTCTACCACAGAGTTAGAAATGCTAAATACTTGCTTTCCATTGTCTTGTGAAATCTAAATGATTAGAATCCCAGATTCCCTTGTAGCTAGTAAGTGGCCATGTGATATAATACTGGCCAATGAGATCTAAGCAAAAGTCCCCTGGGGTATATCCAGGAAAAGATTTGACCTCCTGGAAAAAAAAAAAGTGACAGACTCTAGTGTCCCCCTTCTCCTGTCTACCTGCAATTGGAGTTTAAATGTTAATTTTGAAATGGAGTGGCAAGCATGGTAGAATGAAAGAACAGAAGAAACAGAAGTTTATTTCTGCATGGTGAAAAATGTACAAACTTCTTAGTTTCTACTACCACACATCCTCTTATTTACAACAATAAAAGTCATTATTGCTTAGGCCTCTGTTAGTGATATTTTCTGTTACTTTCAGGCAATGCACTTTAATCTCACATAGAATTATATAGTCTGCAACGAATATATTGTATCATTTTATATTAACAAAATAAACCTATTCTATTTTAGAGATTATTTTGTTGAAAAACTGAACTGTACATGTGAGGAAGATATGCCATATCTCGTATTTCATGGCCTTGATTCTTTCTTTGATGAAAAAAACGAACGTTTCAACACACTGGGAAAAATCTCAGGTTAAAAACAAAAAGAACTTAGTAATTCTAAAATCTCAACCAAATTACAACCAACAGTTTTAAGTTTTAAAAAACTCAATTGAGATTGAAAAATTTCTGAGGCATTTAACATATCAAGATAGTTTTTGAGGTCTCTATCATACTAGAATCGTATCTTTCAAGACACAGACTGATAATACCTGCTTTTTGATACCTACCTCAACTATATGAAAGCTTCAGGTCCAATTTTCAAATTGTTACATACATGTTCTAAAAAAAGAATATAGACCAGGCAAGCATTCAGGTGATATTTCAATGGCCTCCAAACCATCTTAGTTGAAAATAGCTTTTGTTTTTTTACCTTTGATAAAAGTTAACATGCTGCATTAAGCATTATGTTACAGCAGTAAGAGTTATAATGGTGTTAATACAGATTGTATATGAAATAAAACTAATAAGCTAGCATTAAGCTGAGAGCATCCAAAACAGGACACTAAGCACCAACTGTAGACAGCTCTCTATCAGAGACTCCTTCCTCTTCCAGAATCCCCTCCACTCTTCCCACCCTTCTATCAACTGTAAGGAGACCCAGTGAGTCTTGAAAGGATTCTCTATGATAGGAAAATGCAAGGAGTCCTCTATTGCATATTAGGGAACAGTAAAAGAGTAACATGGTCAGAGAGCAGATAAAGAGTAAAGGGTTCACAACCATAACATTAAAATTGTTCTTCCAACCTTCATAAGTCCAATTTTCAAAATATTTGATTAATGACAAATAAGATGTAGTCATTTAGTGATGTCCAAAAACCAAGAAATACTTAGAAAATTTTATCTATGGCTAAAATAAATGGAATTGAAAATGCATATAAATGAATAAATTAAATATAATTATTAATCTTAACAAATTTATACATTTAATTAATTCCTTTATTCATCCATACAATGATTCACTTATTTATTCAAAAGAGTCACTGATCCATATAGGAAAAATACTCTAGCCCTGTTTAGAATTATTCCCCTTTCTAAAAAATTACAAAAATTTTTAAGGTATAGTAAATAAATAATTTGTAAGCTTGGGAAATCTTTAAACTGTACATTTTATTAAAAGTAGCATTTATTTTTGCTTTGTTGACTCCATAGCTGCAAGAAGACTATAGCTAGTGAAGCCAATTATTTTTCCCATTATTTTTGTATACAATTTTACTGTGTCCTAAATTTAAATGTTAAAGAGAAAAATTCAGGGGATGGTATAAAACAGGACATAATTTGTCAAAGCATTCACCAACTTATAGTGGATATATACTAGTACATATAAATCACACTACAGTGTTTATGGCCAGATGGAATTTCAGGTGCCTACATCATCGTAGCTGTTATTAAATTATCTTTTGTGATGATACCTCAGGTAGTCAGGACTGTTATGCAACAGGGAGTTAAGGAAACACCGTCAGTTTTAAAAGCTATTAAAATGTCTTGCAGGTGTGCTTGAGAGCAGCACAGAACAAATTCACTTGCACACTATGAGGATTCGAGACCATGCAGTCCATCCGCAAGGGGCAATTAACACACACAGTGTGAGGGAAGGAGCAGCCAGAAGTGCAAACTAAACAGAACTCGCATCGCACTCCTATTTCCCAGTTACATTGCAAAGCACAGATGTTTATTCCACAAAATAAATGATATTGGTAGTTTGGGACTATGATATAATCCTATAGAGTCTTTCTTTCTAAATAGCTACTTTCTACTGATCTTTCAAGATTATGTTTTTCTTTTTTCTCTATGATGTGAGCTTATTAAAATATGAAAAATTTTACTCAGCTACTTGTTGCAGCCTGCATAAGCCTCACTTTGCTGCATCTGGACTAGAATTTCTTCCTGCAGTCACTTCTTTTAAAGGCTATGGGGATATGTTAATTCCTAGGGTCAATTTTCCTCAAAATATGATGTGTTTATAGGAGGCTAGCTCTTATTCTTACTACAAATTAAAGTTCATTTTATTAGCTCCAACATCAATGGTTCAAAGAAAAGCTGCCACCCCCTTCTAGAGGTACCTGAGTCTGTTTTTATAAAAAAAGTTAATATTTTATTCTTTCCACAGATTCCAGAATATTTCATGTCATTTCAGAAATAAGAACAGCATAGAGAATAGCCTTGGCTGCCATACCAACCTGTCATTTAAGAAAGCTACATTAATCAATAACACCTGAACAGTTCAATTACTGAATAAGAAAGGCAAAGAAATGGAAAAAAGATTAATAGGTCTTCCTCAAAATTAGACCCCTAAAATCAAAGAGGAGCTTCAACCTATGATGATTTGAAAAGACTATTACTGCTTGAGTTAATATATAATTATTAAACCTTTTTATTTATTTTTTTCCACATACAGCAGCCAATTTCACTGACAATTTTCCTGCTCAGAGAATTTTTCACCTTTGATTAATGACACTTAATACAAATTCTAGCTAGTCACAATGAAAGGAAAAAGAGTCACTTGAACCAATGGTGAAGTGTCTTATAGAGCTAGACTAGGAAAGGTTAATGGCATCATTACTCAGGTCTTTGAATGCACATATCCCTCTCTCAGAGTATGTTAGCCATGTTGGATAATGCATTAACCCCTTCCACACTCTTGTTCCACCAAGAACTGTTCATTTTTTTAAAAGACAATACTTATAAATACACCCATTTTTTTCCTTAAAGGATTTTGGATATTATAACGCCACATTAAAAAAAAAAGAGTTGAATGAATTACATCTTAAAGAATGATAATACAGTAAGAGAAAAAAAATTGCTTTAGAAACCTGGGTTTCTAAATCCTGGGTCCACAAGACAACAGAAAAGTAATTACCTAGGAAATAAGTTAAACTATTCTAACCCAACCAGCCCAAAATGCCTCCTGAGAATACTTACACTTCATGCAAAGGAATGCACAACTTCTTTACATTGTCATAAGATTCATGGATGCTTTTTCTAAATCACCCTTGATACTGACCAATTATACTGCATTATTGTGCTACTCAGAAAAAAATAAATCTCTATTGCAGTGCAGGGAATGGGTTTATTCATTAATCAAAATTCATTAAGCTCCTACTATGTGACAGTCATTGTTCCAGGTACTTGGGATATTTCAATACACAAAATAGACCCACCAACAGTGCCCTTGTGAAATTTACATTCAAATGGGGGAAATTAGATAATTTTAAAAATCCATAATAAATAGGGAAAACTGTAGTGTTAGAAAGTTCTAAGTGTGAAGGGATATAATAGGACTAGGTAAGGAGTTGACAAGGTAGACTAATAGGAAAAGTAGGTTGCTATTTTAATGGACTGGTTAAGGTTTTCATTGTAGTGGCTAACATTAGTCTTTTAATGCTCATGATCATTTTGATTAGTTAGGAAACACTTTGTTGTTTGCCTACTCACCTAGTTCTAGGCATGTCATGGTCTATTAGCCATTGATCTTTGTGGATCAAAGCCATAGCCTCATTGCTCAGTAGAGTAACCACATCCATCTTGCCTCTGATAGTTAAGTACAAAGTGAGACTGCTCTCTAGCAAAGAAGAGGACTGCTTGGCCAGGATGATTCAAGGGCATTTGGAGAGTCAAGGCTTTCAAACAAACCCCTCATGCCTGCCCTGCCAGGTTGTAAGTCCGGCTCCCTCTGCTTCCGGATCATGACTTCAGCATAACTCCCTGCTAAAAGTGCACTCAGCCTCTTTTGTGCCTCTGCCATCCCTGTAACAACGTGGGCACCTGACTTACAATGTATTTCTCCCACTGGATGCAGCAGACAAGGATTTCTTTAATACTTTTTTGGAAGCCTCCTGGATTTTATAGCTGACCTAAGTCTAATTATCCTTCTTCGAGGTTTCTAGGTAGGTCAGTTAAAAAGCCAGCTCACACTGCATTGTTTATAATTGTCATGGCCTCTTTATTGTTTAGGTGCTAGCATGATTGCAAAAATAAGCACTTTGTCCCTGCCACCCTACACCTTATCCAAGTCCACCACAGTGATAGTCTAAGACAGCAAGTTTCAACCTTTCCTAAGGGAAAAGAGGTACTAACTAAATAGGTATTACATTTTAAAAATTCTTGCAGTACACCAGTGTGCCTCTTGCAACACACCAATTAAAATTTGTTGATGTAAGGAACTATGATAGTGCCGTACATAAAAGATTTTCTACAACTTACCATCAGCAATTGTGCCCTTGTCATCTGATGGCCAAGAGATCCAATGCCAGAATCATGTCCTAAGAGTCTGATTTCTGGAGCAAAGTCTGGTGCAATTGTTAAGGGCTTCCCTAAAAATCAGATCCTAAGATAAGGACTTAAAAGCCAGAAGCTTACTTGGGAGAAATCCCAGGAAGAGCTGTATATGAGAGACAGAAGGGAGAGAATTGAATTCAATAAAGGTGTATGAATGAGCGAGGCATTGTTGTAGACAACTTGGATCAATACTACTGTGGATCCTCTGGATCATATGATAGGATCACCCCACAGAAGACTGAGTATCTGGGGCATTCTTCAACAAATTCTATCCAATCATGAAATCCCCCTGGAATAGTTAGCTTTTCTACACACACAAAAATAATCTTGTCTATTGTGGTGGAATAAGTTTCAGAGAGCCATAGAATTCCCTCAGGCGGAGAGGAAGAGAGATGCAGGCACTTGTGATACTAAGTTGCCAGCATGCATGCAGACAATCTATTACACCAACAGGCATATTTAAATGGGCTAATGGATTGTGTATGGCTCAGGGTAATGATAACATCTGTAGCATTGCTGGTGTTCTAAATTTAAACGTGTACTCTGGATTTATCAAAATTTAGTATTTTATAATACCTTTATTATTCTCCAGGACAACATAACGACTTTAGAACATCTTAATCAATTCTTTCATGTGCAAATGGGTAGAAAAATTAAAGATGAAGAAAATATCTTGAACAAAGACTAAATGTGTCAGGTAGCAGAATTATTAGTGCTTTGCAAGGCATCAGAAGTAGGGAATATAGAAGAATAAAGCATGGCAGATAATTTGATAACGAAGGAAGAAAGCATGATAGTTTAAAATCTTCTGAGCCCTAATAATGGCAAATAACAACACTATTTACAAAGTCAGCTTGGGGAGATAAAAAATGATGAGTAATAATTTGAAACTGTGAACTTTATAATATATACAATCTTCAATGAATTAAGAAATGAAGATCTGCAGTTGGGATGAGATGGTGGTGATATTTGTGGCAGACATACACATATATATAGGATTGAGAATAGATCACTTTAAGGGAGGCATGTCAAGAGGAAAGTGAACACACCCTAAAGATGGCATAGTGAGTGCGAATGCAACCCTGCCCAGTTCTCCTTTACTAGCTGGAACATCTATCTGCCTATTGCTGTGATTGTTGGCCAAAACTTTGGGTACAAAACTCTAGACCTTTGCCTCAAAGAGAAAACACAGTGGTGCAATTTGTGCTTGTGCTTTAGAGTGTTTCATGGGATCAGACTGAATTAGTTTCCAACTGAAGTCATATTCTTGCTTACTCTTCGCCCTGTCCTACTTAGCTGAATTCTCCTAAGAGCACTTCCAATAAATCACTTGACCAATAACTCCCATCTCAGACTTTGCTTCTAAGAAACATGGCCCAAGACAGATGCCACATGTAGGGGAACTGTAGTCAATAAAAAAGTAGATTAAAAATTATCATAGAAATAGAGCTATATCCTGAAAATGGTGAGAGAGAGAATCTTAATTGAGGGGAGAATAGTCATTGGTATAAACGGTGATTGTAAAAGATAAAAAAGTTAATTAATATCAAATGTGAAATAGGTTTCTGTAGGTTTGGTTATGGTAGAATTAAACTCTTCATGATTTCTGGATACAGAGAATAAATTGATGTTTGCCAGATGGGAGGATGGTGAGTGGGCTGGGTAAAAAATGTGCAGGGTTGACAAGTACAGATTGGTAGTTATGGAATAGTCATGGGAATGTAAAGTACAGCATAGGGAATACAGTCAATAATACTGTAATAACTATGTATGGTGGGTACTGATGGGTACTGGAAATATTGGGAAGAACACTTTATAAAGTACATGATTGGCTAACCACTATGCTGTACACCTGAAAGTAATACAAAATATATTGAATGTAAATTGTAATTTAAACAAATTTAAAGAGAAAAAAATGAGGGGATTAAGTACAAATTGGCAATTACAAAATAGTCATGGGGATATAAAGCACAACATAGGGCATACAGTCAACAATATTATAATAAATATGTATGGTGCCAGGTGGGTACTAGACTTATGGAGGGGATATTTTAGTAAGTTATATCAATGTCTAATCATTATACTAGTACTGTACACATGAAACTAATATAACATTGAATGTCAACTGTCATTTTAAAAGTTTTTAAATTAAAATTAATTAGAAATTCCAATGGTATTTGTAACTTTCAAGGGAACAATTTCAGGAGGATAGTATAGACACTTTTTCTCAAAGAATTTTGATGTAGAAGTATGAAAGGTTTGAGGTGATTGCTTGAGGTGGTGGCAGGATCCAAGTCCCTTTGTTTAAATCCAATTTGTAAAATGGAAAAAAAGTAAAATGAAAAACAAGAACAAAAGTACACAACTGTTTTGTCTGGAGGGTGAGTGGAACATCCCCCTACCATTTATTCCTGCTTCCCTACCATTGCACTCTCTCCTCCTCTGCTGTAGACCCATGGGAATTCCCACAGTGCTATAAGGAGCATGGACTAACATCTACTAATTTAGACAGAGTTGGAGATAAGATTAAAAATATAAAGAAAGATGAGAAAATCCTAAGGGGATTTATTTGGGACAATTACAAAGTGATCTGAGCCTCACCTAGTTTGGATGTTCTCAGAGGTAAATTGTTCGGTTAAAGGCCCAGGGGATGCCTATAATTCTTCCTCAATTACCTCATCAAGTTGGGATGTGGGGCTTACTTTAAACTGGCCCTTATGAAAATGGAATCTGGAACCCTAGGTAGAATTGGTGAACCCAATCTTCTAAAATGAAAGCAAATGAACAAGGTCAACTATGCCTTTCAGTTAACATCTCGGATGGTATAGAAGTTCAGATACTATAGAAGTTCTTTATACCTTTCTTATTTTTCTTTTCTCATAACCTATCTACAACCACTCAGCCAAAACAAAAGGACTGATATGCTTAAAATTAAGAGCAGAAAGGCCTAACAGTTCATGCAGAGTATGATTTTCCTCTTTCTTAGAGAAAAAGATTTATTTTTGAGAATGATGAAAACATTGTTGGCTATATTTTATCTTTTATACAACAGATGTTATCTTCTGAGGATTCAGAGGAAGGAATTACCCCTGTTCACCTCTTTACCACATCATCATTAGCCACTTCAAGACTGCTCTGGGTAATGCAGAAAAGGGTCAAGGGTAGAGACTTCTGAATTTGTCACTAATTAATTCACTCTCCCAGCTGAACACATTTCTCCTGCCTCTAGGACAGAGTGTCAGACTCAAGGAATCAGTGCAGCCATGACTCCCCCTTTCTGACCCAGGCTCTCTGGGACTTACAAGAGATGCAGGAGGGTGCAATAAAGGTGAGACAAGCAATCTTCATTCTCTACCCAAAGCAAAACTGCAGATCTCAGACAAGGCTAGAAATGCCTGAAACACAACTGACAGCAGTGGCTGGTCAGTAGGAAAACAACACTAATGTGAGTAAGCATAAATTGAAAAAAAAAAGGTTTTATTATTAGATCCCACAGGTTCTCCCAAGGCTGTTTGCAGAGGTTTGACTAGGGATGCACTGAGGACACCAAGAGCCTCATTTAACCACTGTCAGAACCTCTTCCAATCTCATTGCTCCATTAGAGAGTTAAAACTGTTTTCAGGAAGCTAAAGAGCAGAAAATGTTAGATGATTTGTTATTAAAACAATAGCTCGAGCCCGGCCAGCATGGCTCAGTGGTTGAGCATCAACCTATGAACCAGGAGGTCACGGTTTATTTCCCGATCGGGGCACATGTGCAGGTTGCGAGTGGAGCGTGCAGGAGGCAGCCGATCAATAATCCTCTCATCATTGATGTTTCTCTCTCTCTCTCTTCCTGCCTCTCTGAGATCAATAAAAATATATATATTTTAAAAAGCTAGATATTTCAAGAAAAGACTATCAGGTCAGATTACTTTTGCATTAGTTTTCTGTTCCTACATAACAAATTGCCACAAATTTAATACAACATAAATTTATTATCTAACAGATTCTGTGGGTCAGGAGTCTGGCACATTTTGCTGGATCTTTTAAGGCTTAAAGCAAGATGCTGATTGCCAATGTTTTCATCTGGAGAATAACTTATGGAAGATCTGCTACCTCAGGTTGATGGCAGGTTTTGTTTCTGACTGAGTTCCCTACTTTCTCATTAGATGTAAGCCAGGAACCACCCTGAGCAACTAGAGGACAGTTTCAGCTCCTTGCCCTGTGGCCTCCTCTCTTGGCTATTCACAACTTCACTATTTGCTTCCTTAACACCAGGAGGAAAATGACTCTGACTTCTATGAAAGTGACTCTTAAAATATCACTTAAGTTAGGTATAACCAGAATAATCCTCCTTTTGATGAACTCAAACTCAATTGATTAGGGATCTTAATTACATTGGCAACATCTCTTCAATCCGTGCCATAAAATGTAACTTTACCATGGGGAGTGGTATTTCATTTATACAAAAATGATATTTTCATTATACACCAAAAGGAAAGGAATTCAGGGAATGTACACCAGGGGCTTAAAAAGTTAGGGCCCATGTCCTGCCCATTATATCTGTAAATAATTAGGCTACTACCATTTAAGAAATAACAATAGTATGCCTACACCTGTTATCTACAGATATGACTTAGTAGTGTGCTGTATAAATATTTAAGTTCTGTAAGCTTGGAGATTTGGGAAAACAATTATCATCAGTTCTCCTTCTTATAGCTTCCATACCCAATGTGAGAAGAAAGACACAAGAACTAAGTAGGGATCAAAATATAGTAAAATTATTAATGGTGAAGCTAGTAGGAGAACCTAGCATGTTCTTCTATCCCCTTTCTTGATTTATACTTTGGTATTTCTAACCTGTCACAGGGAGAATATTTGAAAGATGGTCAACCTACTAAAGCAAGGCTCTGTTTGTCTCTTATCTACATGGAGGAAACTCACTGAAAGATAATAAGACAAGAAAAAGTTGTACCTGGCTCTGTCCTGTTTGAACTTCAGTGCAATAGTTTCACATTTCAGTTAACAAGGCCCATTAGTCAGCATGGGCTAGGTTATGATGCAGTAACAAGCAATAACGAAATCGGAGTGACCAACACACCAACATATATTTCTTGTTCATGTTTCAAGTCTAAAACTGGTAAACAGGGGTTCTCTTTATCACAGTTACTCAGGGGCCCAGGCTAATATAGGCCTCCTCTCAACCTGTGCCTCTTTAATCATGCAGCAGGAAGAGAAGGAAAGTGGTGAATCTCACACTGGCTTTTAATATTTACAGGGCAAAGTAACACATTACCTCTATTTAATTTTTATTTTTTTTAATTTTTATTTTATTATTATTATTTTAATATATTTTTATTGATTTCGGAGAGAAAGAGAGAGGGGGAGAGAGAAACATCAATGATGAGAGATAATCATTGATTAACTGCCTACTGCACACCCCACAATGGAGACCAAGCCCACAACCCAGGCATGTCTGACCAAGAACAGAACCGTGATCTCCTGGTTCATAGGTCAATGCTCAACCACTGTGCCACACCAGCTGGGCTTTATTATTATTTTTTTAATCCTCCCCTGAGGATGTTTTTATTGATTTTTAGAGCAAGAGGAAGGGAGAAAGAGAAACACCAATGTGAGAAAGAAACATCCATCAGTTGCTTCCTATACACTCCCTAACTGGGGACCGAACCCACAACATAGGCACGTGCCCTGACTGGGAGTTGAGCCCATAACCCTTTGGTGTACAGGATGATGCTCCAATGAGTTGAGCCACCTGGTGAGGGCTGCACAATTTTTATTGACCAAAGCAGTTATATGGCTACAGAAGGAGGCAGGAAATGCAATCATTTGCCTTGAAGTGGGGAGAAGCAAAAATATTTGGTAGACAGCATTAACAACTACCACACATGGCTGAGTGAATGTCATACCTCTCCATAAAGGATGCAGGAATCAAGGAAGGCCCCAAAGGTACTTACTCCAATACTGTTCCCTCCAAGAGAGTAGAGTATGTAATCTCTCTCTCTTTTTTAAAAAAATATTTTTTATTGATTTCAGAGAGGAAGGGAGAGGGTGAGAGAGATAGGAGCATCAATGATGAGAGAGAATTATTGATTGGCTGCCTCCTGCATGCCCTCTACCAGGGATAGAGCCTGCAACCGGGGCATGTGTCCTTGACCAGAATTGAACCTGGGACCCTTCAGTCTGCAGGCTGATGCTCTATCCACTGAGCCAAACCAGCGAGGGCAAGAGTATGTAATCTCTAATAACAATGGGGAAAGAGATATGTAAGAGTTTCCTCTTAAAAGTAAGTATAGGCAACAGAAAACATTTTTGGTACAGCACTGCAGTGCCAAGCCTCACCTTTATGGAGATTGCTTCAGTGAGTAGGTAACACACAACTCTTCCAAGGCTGCTCTGAAGGCAGCTGAGCTCCAAATATGAAGAGAGAGGCTGTGCCTGCCACATTTTAAGAGGGCACCTTCAAATTCAGGCTGCATGTCTGGAGTTGCTGTGCCGAACAGGATCTGTGAGCTGGCTCTGTGCTGGGTGAGAAGTGTGAAGCCTGGTGCCAGAACGAGAGTGCACATCAAAATCCTGGCACGGCACTCTTCAGAAACGGACAGAAGACCAACTGTAACATGCTGCTCATTCTTCTCACGTCATAAATGGGAAGGCATTAATCGCTGGGAGGCTGCCCAGAAATTAGAGTTCATCTATTGGTTACGGGGTGTCAAAAGGCAAATGTGGAGTGTTTTAAATTTGTTTAGTTTTCCTGTGATGTAAAATACAGGTTTCAAATGCTGGCGTTATCATCAAAACAGGCTCCTGGCCCTGCCAAAGCTAACATAAAGAGAGAGCCCAGAACTCCACACAGGTTTCTCATTTATAGCATAATTTCTTCCAAAGACAACTGTTTTAAAATGTAGATTAGCCCTTAATGTCTGGATTTTCCAAACTGAAACTTTGAAACAATGAGGTCCCATTTTCCAACACTGAAAAACCACTTGACAAAGGAGCCGTCAGTGAGAGCCCTAGCAGCCGTGGCCTGCAACTGTCCACACAGCAGTGAGCGCCATGCTCTGCCCTTGCACAGTCCTCTGATTGCCAAGTAACTACTGTGCTCTCAAGCTATGAACTATAATCATCTGAGAGAAGACGGGAACTCAGGATCTATTTTTCTTCTTTGATAAAGTACTAAAACGTGTATATAACATCACCACCTAAGTGAAATAATTCAACCAAAGCAGTAACTCCTTAAAAGCGATCATCGTGCACTCATCAGACTAGATTTGAGGGCGTAAATATGAATACATGCAAACCAATTACTTCATATTCATTCCCCAAATGGAAGTATATCTTTCTATTTGTTTGTTCGTTCGTTCATTGTTGTTTTTTTTAGATTTTTTAAATGGAATTTAATGGAGTGATAATGGTTAATAGTCATATATGTTCCAGGTATACAATTCTATAATACATCATCTGTATATTGTATTGTGTGTTCACCACCCCAAGACAAGTTTCCTTTCATCACCATTTATACCCCCATACTCTCCTCTCCCTTTCCCTACCCCTCTGGTAAACACCATACTGTTGTCTATGTCTATGAGGGGTTTTTTCTTAATCTTCTTGATCTATCATATCTAAAAACCTTTGCTTAAAAAGAAAAGAAGCAATAGTTTAAAGGTCTACAAACTGGTGACTTTTGTGTGTGTGTGCTTGTGTGTGCATGTGTTCCCACACAATTTCATTACAAATTAAATCTAAATGACTTCCTGTAGAACATAAACTCACAATTTTCCATAATCCTCACTAGTCCTTATCATCTTAAAGTCTGATTTACTTATTTATGCTACCTACTCTACTAATGGCAGATATCTGTATGTGTTCTACTTTTAAAAAATTTAAAACGTAAGAGAAATAAATATAAACATGATCCAGAACTGTGGCTACTTTTAAGATGAAGATGATCTCTCATATGCAAAAATGTAAATGACAAGCTCTTAGATTCTTATTTGGGCCATTCCACAGCATAAAATTTCATCCATGAAATACAATAACACTATTTTGAAGTTTAACACAATAAATATAAAGATTCTTAACCAAGCCCTGACCGGTTTGGCTCAGGGGATAGAGCGTCGGCCTGTGGACTGAAGGGTCCCAGGTTTGATTCCAGACAAGGGCATGTACCTTGGTTGCGGGCACATCCCCAGTGGGGGGTGTGCAGGAGGCAGCTGATCGATGTTTCTCTCCCATTGATGTTTCTAACTCTATCCCTCTCCCTTCTTCTCTGTAAAAAATCAATAATAAAAAAAAAGAATCTTAACCCAGTACCTGATGCATAGTAGGCACTCAATAAATGTCAGCAATGATGATAATGATGATGATGATGATGATGATGATGATGATGATGATACTTAAGCTGCAAAGTTAGTTTTGAACAAAAATACATAATTAATGTTTAGGCTTTAGTGTCTGCAGGCCTGGGTTCAAATCCCAATTTCACCATTTACCAGTGGTGAAGAGATTTCATTGGTATGAGGAGAAACAAGAGCACTGAGTAGGTGCAGAGATATAACTAAATGGCCTAGCAAAGGAACCCTCAAAGACTTCACTTTCATGAACTGTTTTCAGATCAGCTTCTAGAAATAAATAATTTTCACTAGGCACAGAACATAATAAAAAGCTTCAAACTGTTGATCACTACTAAAGTAATTTCTGAAAAACACCTTCTTTCCCTCAGCACTATGTACTTGTGGGATAATTCTTTTTAATAGAGCATTTCAATACAATAACTAATGAAATGGACATATTAAATAAAATAATCATTTGCCATAAAATCATCATTATTCCCTATGCTTGAGAATTTATTCCTGTCCTTCATTTCTTTTCCAAATGTTTGTTTTATTCTTTTTAAAAGTGATTATCATTGGATTATATTTAAGCCTTTAGAGAATAGATGCTGCTATCACATACCTTTCTTTATGCACAGCCCCTAGTGAATTCAATTTTTGGACTCTATTTGGCTTTCTAATCCAGTGAGAAGTAACTTATTTTAAATAAAAGGAGGAAGAACTTACCCTTAAACTCAGAGGTTAATCTCCATTGAAGCCATCTTTGGCATATTTAATTAGTGTGGGAAATTTTGCTAGGATAACTTTTGCAGGGGTTTCACAGAATGCTCCTCAGAAAGACCTCTTGGATCCCGTGAAATCTCCAGTCTTTTTGCCCAAAATAACATCTCTAAGCAAAGGGTAATGTTAATATAGAAATACACACATTTGAGGAGAAGATTTGGTTTTAGGATAGGACCACTTTTAACTCCAAATTAAATAGGTTCCAAGTAATAATTTCATCTTACTGTTTATTTGACAATTTTTTACCGAGCATTTACCATGAGCAACATAGGGAATATGAAGAATTTACATATTAACAACATTGTATCTTCAGGTAGAAAGAAATTAACATTATTGAGGGTCAACTATATAAGATTTTAATTGATGTAATTAGAATTTATGCAAGGAGATGGAGATGGTATAAGCAGTTACTTAAATATGAAAATCTAGAGAAGGAATGTAGACTAAGCTCCTCAGAAAAAAACTAGCGGATACTAGAGAGGTGAGGTTGAAAGCATGGTAAAGTCTTTAATGCTGGGGTGAAGAGTTTATCAATTTGGTAGAGGTACGATGTATAAAAGTTTGATAACTACATGTTTTAGGAAGATCAATCTGTCAGAGATGCATATGAACAACTGGAGTAAAAAAAAAAATTGGGGGATGGATGGTGTGTCCTATTAGAAGACTAATAGCTGTAAATAATCTAAGCATAAAAGATTAAGGCGTTCAGTAAGATACTAATTTTAAGTTTCAAAGTTGCTGCAATATTTGGAGAAATTGTCTACTGTGAAAGAGAAAGGACCTAAATTTTCTAGCTGCCAGATAAAGAAAGTAGAAAATGTTGGCCCATGGAGTGGGCCAAATGAGATTTGTACTTCTCTCCAAATGTTCTTTAGAAAGATAAAAACCACACTCATAATTATCTAATTTCTAAAGTCTGAAACTAATATTTTCAGATTCTTTAGGATATGGGTAGGTAGGTGAAATGATAAATAGATAGATGATAGATAGACAGGTAGATACACAGTTTTATTCCTAAAGGCAATTCATCACAGGTATCTGGCATAATAGCCAACTAAGAAAATTAAGCAGCAGAATTTAAGATTATCCACATAAGCACTATAGATAATTACTTTCAAATACCTTCACATAAAAAGTTCTCAAATATAACAAAGCTTAAACACTAAAATGATTACTTCATTTTAATAAAGTTATTTAAGTAAAGCTTATGAAAATAAAAATTTAGATATTTTTACCTATGAAAAATTTGGTTGGAAACATCTCTTTTTTACTTATTAATTTTTTAGAGAGAGAGAGAAAGCAAGAGAGAGAAACATCAGTTTGTTGTTCCAATTATTTATATATCCACTAGAGTCCTGGTGCATGAATTCGTGCAAGGGTGAGGTCCCTCAGCCTGGCTGGCAATCGTGGCCTATCAGGGTCATCTCGCTCAGTCCCAATGGGAGCCAGCCAGCCGCGGGGAGGGGCCATGGGTGGTTGGTGGGTCGGGGGAAGGGGAGGTCGGCCGGCTGCAGGAGGTTGGCTGTGGGAGCACACTGACCACCAGGGGGCAGCTCCTGCATTGAGCGTCTTCCCCCTGGTGGTCAGTGTGTGTCGTAGCAACTGGTCAACCTGTCATTCGGTCACTTAGGCTTTTATATATAGAGATTGGTTGATTCTTATATGTGCCCTGACCAGGGATTTAACTCACAACTTTGGTGTATTGGGACAACACTCTAACCAACTGAGCCACCTGGCCAGCCCTAAGCTTAGCCTTAATTCTACAAAACATTTTATTTAAGAGTAAGAGAATTGAAAATCATTCTGAAGCATACAAAGTACTAGAACAACACAAATCAAAATTGAACTGTTACCAAAAATAATAAAAAACACACACAAAACAATACAAAAAACAGCAAATCATTCAGAAGAAATAAAGTTATAATGATTTGTTTTATTCACTAACACAAAGTGATTCTTAGAGCTTGTTCCTTATTTGATTTTTCTTTAGTCATAAACAGTAGATATGAACAGACTGACAAACACACTTTAGTAAATTCCAAAGAGTTTACAGGTATTAGCTGGAGAATTTTTAAACTTTGAAGTAATATTTATAACAGGAATTAAAAAATATAGTTTGGATTCACTCAGTTGAACTTAAATTTATTTCCAAATATTCAACAAAACTGATGAAAATGTTTTAAAGCCATTTAATATTTCCAATGTGAATAAATATAAAAAGCTTTACTAAACACATTTACATTAAGTACTATAACAAATAAAACATGATTCTGACATATGCAATTCTTAATACTATCTATGCATATATCAGATATATAAGTATTATATTTTAAGGTTTATAATCTACCGGTTCTCTCTTCTAAATTTCTCAGCCAACTTTAACTCAGAACTTGGTGACTCAGAAGAGAGAGTCATTGGTGAGAGGGCAAAGTATCCCAGAAAACTCTTAGCTTGTGACAAGGAAGTGTCCTCAGTCCTGGAAAGAATACACAATCATCAGACTGTGTCTTCAGTGCCACAAGCAAGGTTGTTTTTCCTCAAAAGGATTGGGAATGACATGAAAAGAGTGGCCATACTGGATAGCAGGTAGAGCTGAATCTAAGGCATCCCTGAAGAGAATTGGTTCCAACAAAATATATTTACTTCATTTAATTGAAGGATGGGCAGCAACATGGAAAGAGGGCCATACTGCCCAGCCAGTGTGGCTCAGTGGTTGAGCATCAGCCCATGAACCAGGAGGTCATAATGCAATTCTCACTCAGTACTGGGTTACAGGCTCAATTCACAATGGGTGGTGTGCAGGAGGCAGCTGATCAATGATTCTCATTGATGTGTCTATCTCTCTCTGCTTTTCCCCTCCTCTCTCTGAAATAAATAAAAACATATTTTTAAAAAGAAAGAGGGCCATGTTAGAAAGTGAGAAAACTGAATTCTGGTCATATCTTAGTCACAAATTCTTGGACTAAAAACACTGAACTTGTCCGTGTGCCAGTTTTCTCATTGTAATGGGTTGTGGTATATAATGAAATCACATTGGCAAGTTAAATGAATTATAGAAGAAGCCTGTATTAAACAAGAATAAATTTCAATAACATGCTTCATTGTCTAAAATGTCATTACCAGACAGAGTAACACTAAAAGAGACATGTCAATGAAAAAAAATTATGTGAGAGGATGGGAGTAAAGAGGAACGGCAGGAGACACATTTCACAGACAACTGACCTCATTTAGAGAGTGTGGAAGGATGGAGATTGTTTCTCAGTACAACCATTTTGGCCATCAGCCACCTGACACTATTGGACAGAATGTTACGGTTTTCTTTCTCAAGGCTATTAAGGTGATGCTATCAATTAATCAACCATCTTTGATTTAGATCTTTATGTAGATATAACTTATTTATTAAAAGATTTCTTTCTCAAACCATTTGGAATAATATCCCTCAAGGAGAAACATATAATTGGAACATTTCAAATTAAATTATGACTTAAAAATATTTTACCTTGATACTTTTAAGTCTCTTTTCAGACACTGTTAGTCTTCAACTTTGGAGAAAATTCAAAGTCAGGCATCTTTATCATTTAAATGGAGGGTGCCCAATGTATTAATTGATTAGGAAGAAGACGAGAAGCTATTAAAAATGCAACTTTGAAAGAGACAAAAATAGATTCACCCAAGTATATACAATACATTTTCCCACAGATTATTCATAATGCCATATTAAGCAAGAAGGTGTTTCATTGTTATAATTGCATAAGAATACAAAGAATAATTTCACCAGTTTTTACATCAGAATTGTCACAATTCTAGTCATGAGAGGAATTCTAAGCCATGGTTTCTGTAAATGATACAATTTTTTGTTGGTGTTGCCTGTTTGTTTTGCAATGATATTGGCTATGCGCCTGGTATCTTTTATAAGAACATGATTCTAAGTAATATTTGAATAATTTAGTTTCATTATGTGGTTTTTACAGGAATAACAATAATATTCATTTAAATGAGCATTTAGTACTATATGGAGTCTCTATTTCTTTCCCTAACCCTTGACCATGAAAGAAGACATCACTGTAAAATGTGAGACATTACGACATTTACTAGATGCTTCTTTTCTCTTTAAGGTTAACTCATGTTTCTCAATTCAGCATTTGCTAGGTTCTTCGATTCCAAGATTAATTTTTTGTTGTACTCATGTAATATTGCATATTCATTTGCAAAACAAAGACACATGGGCATAAAACTTCTGCAATATT